TCCGATCACCGACGGCTGATCATGATCTCAGCTAAACGCATGTACTTGACCTCGAAAGTGGCCATGCTCCGTATAAGATCCCTATGTCATTCGCATGCGATTCGTATGCGATTCCTACATGTGATTCGAATGTTATTCGTATACGTCTCCAATGCGTCGTCTGAGGAATTCGCCAGCATCCGAAGTGGGTCTCTTCGGGAATCTTGAGAACCCCCACGGGTCCCGCAAATGTCCAGATTCCTGGGGAGCCCTCCTAGGGAATCCTCGGAATTCCCAGGGGTCTCACCACTTGCCGGATTCTTGAGGAGGGTCCCTGAGGGCCGAGGGCCAAGGGCCAGTCCCCGCAAAATGCCACTCGAATCGGGGGCCGCTGTGATGGCGATGATGAGGACGATGTGCACGGCAACGGTGATGTGCGTGGTAATCTCGATCTGGTCTCGACCCCCTAGGATTGGAAAGGGGGGGGGGGGGCTTGAGGCGCTAAAGCGTCCAAGATGTCCCAAGATGGCTCCAGGAGGGCCTCAAAGAGCCCGCGATATCTGGGCCATGGTACTTCAAGATGGCCAATGATAGTCTCCGACATACTTCCAAGAGGCCAAGATAGATCGCTTCCGACATACCTCCAAGAAACCTCGACGTCTCCGAGGGGTCCACGAGACGCCGTGCAGAAGCTCTTCAGAAGTTCTGCATACCCTCTGCATAAGCTCTTCAGAAGCTTTTCGGAAGCTCAGCAGAAGCTCTGCAGAAGCTCTGCAGCAGCTCAGGTGGCTAAACACAACGCATGCATCGCCTACACCCGCTGGCGCATATGGGATGGTGTGCTAGCTCAATGGAGGACCTCATCTCCCGTGACTGCACGCTATTTCGGCCGAAAGAGCCAAGCTTTTCCCAAGACTTCGTGCGAATAACAATGGCACATTGTTGCCAGTGGCGGGTTCACTGAGGTAAGCTTTGATACCGAACGTCTGGCGTGCGCGTCAGGGCACGCAGGGTTATGGTGAGCTCTCCTTCTTGTTTTTTGTTGCTTCAGCGGTTAGCTGGCTCTCCCTCTCCTGCGTCACTCGGATCATGTGTTGCACCCGGACTGGGTGGTGCGGTGCCTACTGGCTGCCTTAAGCCGGCGCCACCCCCCTGCTGGTGGCCGACAAGGTTCAGTGGGCTCCGATGCTCGTGTCTCCTGCTTTCTACTGCCGCAGCGGTTAGCTGCCACAACGGGTTGCCTACCGTGCCTGGCGTGCACCTCCCTTTCTCTCCCTCGTTTCACCGGGTCTATCCCTCGCGGCTTGGGTCGCCGCCAATACTGCTGTCCGATGGTGCTCTGACAGCCTGAATGCCATGCAAGGTTCACACTTGTAACGGACGGCCAGGTGGCCCCTGACCTGCTCCTGTCTGGTGTCGGCCTCCACTGGTGACCAGGAGGGTTATGTGAGGTCTCGCTTCGAATTCCATGCATGCCCACGCTGGGGATGGGCGGCCAGGTGGCCCGTGGCCTGCTCCTGCTTGGTGTCAGCCTCCGCTGGTGACCGTTTTGGGTTCCGTGGGGTCTCGCTGTGGTGCCGTCTTTTTCGGTGCAAGGATTTCGGCATGTGTGGCTCTGTGCCACCGGGTGTACATACAAGTGGATCTGCCGTTTGCAGTCCTGTTGGTGACGAGGCTGCCCCCTCTTCACTCTGGCGCCGACACGATGCTGTTGTGTCACCTACGGCACGGATGTCGCCCTGGAGTGCCTGGCGGACCTGCTCGTTCTTGTCGGGCCGTATGCCGACTCACACCGGGTAGTCGACCTTTGCGTGTTCATGGTCGCGCCGCCGCGCCATTTTGGCTGCGCCTACTTGGTGGTCGCCACCGGGATTTCCACGTCGCCGGGTTGGTAGTGCCGCTCCTGGTGTTCCTTCTGAGTGGTTGCCCGCGCGCTCGCTTCGCTTGCCCAGTATCCCCACCAGCCAATTTAGAAACGATGGCCATGAGAGCTAACGTGGAAAGAGAGGAACAGACACGTATAGTCAAACAGCGAAGGAGGCTGGCCTGGACGGCGTGTTGGGGCCATCTCCGGGCCCGCGTGGGGGGGCGAAGAGGAGGAGGAAGAGGAGGAGGAAAAGAAGGAGAAAGAGGAGGAGGAGGAAGAGGAGAAAAGGGGGAGGAAGCAAGAGGAGCACGACGAGGAAAAGGAGGACGAGGATGACGAGGACGAGGAATAGGAGAGTGAGAGTGAGGAGGAGGAGGTGGAGGACGAGGAGGAGGAGGAGGAGGAGGCGGAAGAGGAGGAGGAGGAGGAGGAGGAGGAGGAGGAGGAGGAACAGGGGGGGAGGAGGGGGAGGAGGTGGAGGAGGAGGAGGAGGAGGAGGAGGAGGAGGGGGAGGAGGGGGAGGAGGAGGAGGAGGAGGAGGAGGAGGAAGAGGAGGAGGAATAAGAAAAATAAGAATAATCATTAGAAGAAGGAGAAGAAGAATAGGACACAAACTAATAATAATAATAATAATACTATTAATACTAATAATAATACGAATGATAATACTAATAAGACGACGAAGAAGAAAACGAATACTACGAGTAATAATAAGAATACGCAGAACAATAATAATATCAAAAATAATAATAATATTAATAATAATACTAATAATACGACTAGTACTAAGAAGAAGACGACGAAGAATACGAGTAATAGTAATATTAAGAAGAAGATTACTAATTTTAATAAACAGAATATGGCTAATCAGAAGAAGAATACGAATAATAAGAATACTACGAACGATAAGAATAATATTGAGACTACTAATATGAATACGAATAATAATAGTAATACTAATAATAATATTATTACTAATAATAATACGAATCGTATCAATAATGGTAATGATAATAATAATAATACTATTCTTAATAATAATAATAGTAATAATGATAATATTAATAATAATAAGAATAAAACTGACACTAATAATAATGGTACTAATACTAATACTAATAATAATAATACTAATAATCATAATAATGCTAATAATAATAATATTAATAATAATAATAATACTAACCATAATAATACTGATACTAATAATAATAATGGTGATCAGAAGAATAATACACATACTAATCAACATAATAGTTAGCATACTAAGACGAAGCAGGGGAGGAGGAGGAGGAGGAGGAGGAGGACGAGGAGGAGGAGGAGGAGGAGGAGGAGGAGGAGGAAGGGGAGGGGGGGGAGGAGGAGGAGGAGGAGGAGGAGGAGGAGGAGGAGGAGGAGGCGGGGGCGGAGGAGGAGGGTGGAGGAGGAGAAGGAGGGAGGAGGAGGAGGAGGCGGATGTGGAGGCGGAGCGGAGGCGGAGGAGGAGGATGATGAGGAGGAGGAGAAGGAGGAGGAGGAGGCGGAAGAGGAGGAGGAAAGGGAGGGAAAGGACGAGGAGGAGGATGATAACGAAGAGGAGGAAGAGAGAAGAGGCGGAGGAGGAGGAGGGAGGAGGAGGGGGAGGAGGAGGAGGAGGAGGAGGGAGGAGGAGGAGGAGCGCGAGGACGAGACGAGGAGGAGGAAGAGGATGAGGATAAGGAAGAGGAGGAGGAGGAGGAGGAGGAGGAGGAGGAGGAGGAGGAGGGGAGGAGGAGGGGAGGAGGAGGAGGAAGGGAGGAGGAGGAGGAGGAAAGAGGAGGAGGGAGGAGGAGAGAGGAGAGAGAGGAAGAGGAAGAGGAAGAAGGGAGGAAGGAGGAGGAGAGGAGGAGGAGGAGGAGGAGGAGGAGGAGGAGGAAAAGGGGGGGGAAGAAGAGGAGGTGGAGGAGGAGGAGGAGGAGGAGAAGGACGACGACGACGAGGACGAGGAGGGACAAGGAGGAGGAGGAGGAGGAGGAGGAGAGGGGGAGGAGGAGGAGGAGGAGGAGGACAATGGCGAGGACGAGGACGAAGGATATGGAAGAGAACGAGAGGACGAGGAGGAGGAGGAGGAGCAGGAGGAGGAAGAGGAGGAGGAGGAGAAACAGGAGGACTAGAGGAGGAGGATAATGACGAGGAGGGGGACGAGGACGAGGGACGAGGAGGATGAGAAGGACGAGGACGAGACGGCGTCCTGCGTGCTTCGGATGAGTCTGTTGGGCTTCTTGGGTGCCTCTCGGGTGCCTCTTGGAGGCCTCTTGGGGCCTTTTGGGGCGCTCTCGTGGCTCTCTTGGGGGCTGGGCCCTGGAGGGCCTCTTGGGAGCCCTGGAGGGCCTCTGGGGACATTTTCGAGGCGGTCGGTCAAGAGAGGGGAGTCCTCGATGTCTGCCCCCCCCCTCCGCCCCCCCCCCCTCTCGGGGGCCACGATCCTCGTGAGAGGTGCAACAATTGGCCCTCCTACTGGCCGAAAAAAAGGGCCCTCTGACACATCGGTCCCCATCCAAAAAAACCCAGGGGGCGTGTTCCCCTCACCGAAGGGAAGAGGAGTTGTGGAAGTAACAAGAGATCAATCACCCTTCGACCACCTGTCGCCTAAAAGGCTGGTGGGAGCGCGCGTGAACTGTTCGTGAACTCCCGAATTCGTTTCGAACTCTTTCCGAACTGTGGTGTCTAATTCTTTTCGGATGTCGCCGAAATCAGGAACTCGGTTCTGGTTTTTTTTTCGCACGTGCCTTGAACTTTTTCCGACTTGGAGCCGCCCTCGAGGCACGGGAGAGACAGAGCCGTCATTCGCGTTATCGTCCTCTCCTTCGGCCGATCTTCCGCCGCTTCTCGCGGTCGTCGCCGCCGCCACCGCCGTCGCAGTCGTCGCCGCCGCCTGTGCCGCTGCCGCCGCGGTCACCCTCTCCGCCGCCGCCTCCACCGCTGCCGCCTTCGTCGGCGTCGTCGGTTCTCCTCCTCCTCCTCCTCCTCCTCCTCCTCCTCCTCCTTCCTCCTCTTCCCCCCTCCTCCTCCTCCTCCTCCTCCTCCTCCTCCTCCTCCTCCTCCCCTTCCTCCTCCTCCTCCTCCTTCTCCTCCTCCTCCTCCTCCTCCTCCTCTTCCCTTTGAGGGTCCGTGGGCCTGCCGCCCGGTGCTGCAGGCCACAGGGAGAGCACGTCGCCACCTCGGTTGGCTTCCACTCGTTCGAGAGGTCGCCCACAGGCTTCGCTGCCGCGCAGACGCCGCCGCCGTAAACGTCGTCGTCGTTCCCGCTGCGCCGCCGCCGTCGTCGTCGTCAGCGTTGTCTTGAGGGTCGTCGTCATGGTCTTTATGATCGTCGTTGATGTCGCCGGAGTGGGAACAGGATGGGTAGCACGATGACGTCGCAGGGGCAAAATGAGGAGGCGGGCAAGGAGAGGGAGGTGGTGATCCACATTTCAGAATGGGAGTATGCTGGATCCCAGGGGATCAGGAGCGCCTCCTCTCTCTGCCTTTGCCTTTGCGTCCATCTCTACATCTACTGCTATAGCCTTACCTTGGATTGTGACATGTCGAGGGGGAATGTTTGGGATCCTGCTTTCATCATCCAAGGTATTGTGGACGAGTAGTACACATGACGTGTAATGCTTGCGTACTTAACACGCAACCATTGCTCCTCTCGCTCATGGCTTTGTTCGGGAGATCTCCGGCCCTCTCCGCGTGTGGTTTTACAGCATTTTAGCACGTGTTTTCTTGTCAGGTTTTACAGCCTGATTGCTGTGGGTGATTCAAAACAGAGCTCCCACTGCAGCGTGGGCCTCGTTTTCGGATCTGCGCTTTACTCTCTTACCCCAGCGCGGATTTCTTTTCTGGGCCCGAGTTGTTTTTTTCATCGTTGCCGCCCCCCTCCTTTTCCTTTCCCATCCTCCGTCTTCCCCTGGTCGTCCTGCTCCTCCCATTCTTTCCGCTCCAGGTCCTGCTGCTGCTGCAGTTGTTGTCCGTTTTCATCCTCCTTCGTCCTGTTCCTTGTCTGCCTGCTGATCCTCCTTCTCACACGCCACCTCCCCCTCCAATACGCCGTTCCCCGCGCATAATGCGACGGGGTCTTTGTGTTGGAGGTCCATGTCGGCTATGACACGCGTCCGCGGACAGACCACATTCCTCGCAATTTTGAAGGGATAGGAGGACGGGATAGGATGTCGGATATGGCGCGAGCGCACTCAGCTTGATATTAGCACTATTCTCCTCTCTCTCCCCCGACGCTGTCCCAACTGGGCACCGCCTCTCTCGCGCACGGCTTTTTGTTCCATAGGATTTCAAGGATTTGGTATTGTACAATTGTGCTGTTGCATTCGTAACGTGTTGGAGTGGCTTTACGGCCGGTGCCGCCGACCCTGAACGACGACGACGACGACGACAACGACGACGACGACGACCACGACCACGACGACGACGACGACGACGAAAACGACGACGACGACGACGACGACGACGACGGCACCGACGACGACGACGACGACGACAATGACGACGACACCGACGACGGCGACGACGACGACGACGCCGACGACGAGCGCTCTCGGGGGCCTCTTGGGTGTAGTTTGGGGGCTTTGGGCGGCTCTTGGGGGCCTCTTAGGGGCCTCGTAGGGGCCTCTTGATGCTTCTGGCTTCTTGGGGGCCTCCGGGGGCCTCCTGGGAGCCTCTCAGGCCGATGGCTCGAAATGTCCTTTCGGGTCCCCCGTCTGGGCTTCCTCTTGGAGCCGTCTTGGGTGCCTCTTGGGCTGTTTTGGAGGCCTCTTGGGCGGTCTTGGGGCCCTCTTGGGTCATTTTAGGGCCCTCTTGGAGGCCTCTTGGGCAATCTTGAGGCCTCCTGGGCTGACTTGGAGCATCGGGAAGCCGACACGGCGAGAACGCCCAGATCGTTCAACAATGATACGGAACTTTCATGATTATGTGCGCAGCTCTCTTGCCTTACTGCAATTCAAACAGAGGGGATCATTTTTAGGATCCAGGTCCGCTAGAACATCCACCAGCGGATAGAGAACAAATGAAGGAGTGCTTTCTGTGGTCGCTTGTAGAGCCCCCCTCAGGTTCGGAACCCGCGGGGGGAGGGGGAAATGTCCCCCCCCCCAGGTTCGAACCCCGTGGTGTGGTGGGGGCGACGACGACGGCGTCGTTCTCGGCGTCGTTGTCGTCGCTGGCGTCAGCGTCGGCGCCAGAGTCGTGCTCGACGTCGTTGTCGGGATCGGCGTTGTCGTCGGCGGCGGCGGCATTGGCGTTGGCGTTGGCGTCGTCGTCGTCGTCGTCGTCGTCGTCGTCGTCGTGGTTGTCAACGTCGGCGTCGGTGTCGGCGTTGGCACCAGCGTCGGCGTCGGCGCCGGCGCCGGCGTCGTCGCGTCGTCGTCGTCGTCGTCGGCATCGGCGTCGGCGTCGGCATCGGCGCCAGCGTCGGCGTCCGTGCTCGGCGTCGTGCTCGGCGTCGTGCTCGGCGTCGTGCTCGGCGTCGCGCTCGGCATCGTGCGCGGCGTGGTCGGCGTCGGCGTCGTTGTCGGCGTCGGCGTCGTCGGCGTCGTGCTTGGGGTCGTGCTCGGCGTTGTCGTCATCGTCGGCGTCGTCGTCGGCGTCCGCGTCGGCGTCGGCGTCGGGATCGGCGCTGGCGTCGGCGTCGTTGTCGGCGTCGGCGTCTTCGGCGTCGTGCATCGGCGTCGGTGTCGGCACCGACAACGGCGTCATTGTCGGCGTCGGCGTCGTCGCCGGCGTCGGCGTCGGCATCGGTGTCGTGCTGGGCGTCGTTATCGGCGTCGGCGTTTTGGTCGTCGGCAGCATCGGCGTCGTCGTTGTCGGCGTCGGCGTCGCCGTCGTGCTCGGCGTGGTTTTCGTCATCGGTATCGTCGGCGGCGGCGGCGGCGACGTCGTTGTCGTCGGCGGCGTCGGCGTCGGTCGGCAGCGTCGGCGGAAGCGTCGGCGCCCGATTTGTCGTCGTCATCTGCGTCGGCGTCGTCGGGGTGGCGGCGTCGGCGTCGGCGTTCTCGTCGTCGTGGGCGTCGGCGTCGTCGTGCTTGGCGTCGTGCTTGGTGCTCGGTGTCGTCGTAATCGTCGGCGTCGTCGTCGTCGTCGGCGGCATCGACGTCGCTGTCGGCGTCGTCGTCGTCGGCGTCGGCCTCGGCGTCGGCGTCGTGCTCGGCGTCATGTTTGGCGTCGTGCTCTTCGTCGGCGTCGTCGTCGTCGGTGTCGGCGTCGTCGTCTTCGGTGTCTGCGTCGGCGCCTGCGTCGGCGTCGTTGTCGGCGTCATCGGCATCGTGCCTGGCGTCGTCGGCGTCGGCGTCGGCGCCGGCATTGTCGTCGTCGTCGTCGTCGTCGGCTCGTCGTCGTCGTCGTCGTCGTCGTCGTCGTCGTCGTAGTCGTCGTCGTCGTCGTTCTGTCGGCGCCGCCTTGTCGCGTCGTCGTCGTCGTCCTCGTCGTCGCGTCGTCGTCGTCGTTTTCGACGTCGTCGTCGTCGTCGTGGTCGTTGTCGCCGTCGTCGCCACTTTTGGCTCAAGGCAACCCAGTCGATCCAAGGAAGGGTCGAGTTTCATTGAGTTTCTCACTGATCGCGATGTCAGGAGGAGACTGCGTCGCGTTCGGAATTTCTACGTTGCGCTAGCAATGCTTGGATCCTGGTCCGCTCGGTTTCCACGGCCAAGCAGGCGATTGATTTCTGGTTGCGCATTCGAGGGAACACACAGTCTGATGGCCCCTGTTGACGAGGTGGAGTAGCGCAACGCTTTCCCATCCCGCATAGGCGCGCTCCGCGCGAGAGGCGCGCTGATCCCCTTCCGCGAGCGCGCTGCTGGACTCAAAGCCCCAGGCGCGCGCGCAGTTGTCGACCACAGTGGCGCGGGAGAAGGTGGATGCACAATCAAAACCAACGGGTCTGGCGCACTTTGGGCCGCGCATAGGGACTTGCTCACAAACAGGGAAATAAGCTCGCGCAGGCGCCTCGAGGCGTTGGATCGATGTGTTCGCTCACAGCCCCTACGCATTCTACTTCCAGGCCAAATTTGTCAGCCTCGGGCCTCAGCCGTATCTCCAGATGGCATAACTTCATGTTAGGGCGAGTCATTCGCCCGCCGTGTGCCGACGCAGCGGCCGAAAACCTGATATCAGCTATGGTCATTGTCTCAGATATGCGAACCCGTCACGCCTGCGGACGTCTCTCTGATGCCTGGTCTGGACACCTCCCAGGCATGGCCTGGGTCTCTTCAGATCGAGTCGCCTACCGTGCATTGCGGTACCGAAGCCGCGCCTGGATGTCGCAAAACCGTCGAAATCTGCAGATGGGAGCGGGTTTTCTACAGTCTTTATGGCTTCGATTCGCTGACCAAAATGTACATTCAGCACACGCGGACTGACGGGCCGAAGGGTCCTCAGGTAATCTCCTGGCTTGTTTTCTCCCAAGGTTTTGCTTGGCGCCGTCGGGTCCTGGAGGCACCCCATAGGACGGTTCGAAACGAAACGAAGAGTTGCCGTCGTCGTCGTCGCCGTTCCCCCCCTGCCCCAGGTTCGAACCCGGTGGGTGGGGGCGTTTGCACCACCCATTCCCCGCCGGTTCTGAGGAGGAGGGGGGTCCCCCCCGATTTTCGAAGGGGGGGGGGCGCATTTCTGTCAATTCGAGAGCGCCCGCGAAACGCGCTTTCTCAACATAAGTCAAAACGCAGTGGGATGGATGCGATGGGTGGCATGGGAAATGCGACGCGAACGCACCTAGGTTGCCATTCGTTTCTCTCCTCTTCCGATTTTCTTTGGCCTCGCGGACCCCGCTCTTCTTTTCTACCTCCCGCATCCCTGGCGCCTTCTCCCCTGTTCCACCCTTCCCGTTTCCTTTTATTCTCCATTATATTATCGTCTTTCATTTTAATCCCCCCTTCCAATCAAATCCATGTGGTTTCCTCTCCCTCGTAATTTTCTTGCCCGCCGCCTCCGCGTCCGGCTCCCCATCCCTTCCCCGTGTTCCTTCTCCTCCCCGTCTGTCCCCGTCCCCGCCCCCCTCCCAGTTCCTCATCCTCCTTTCTTTCCGTTTCCTCCTCGTCGTCCTCCCCGTTCTCCTCCTTTCTTCGTCCTCTTGTCCTCCTCTTCTCCTCTTCTCCTCCAATCTCCCCTTCCTCCTTTTATTCCCAACCCTCCTATGGTTGGGTACTCGTTTTGAATAGAGCAGTGTGGTCGCCCCCGGCCTCCTTTTTCTCCTCCCCCCTCCTCCCCTCCTCTCCTGTCTCCTGTGTTCCCCTCTCCCCTTCTCTCGTGCCGTCGGGCTGCGATCTGCGAAGCTTTCGCCACTTTCGTGGGCTCCTGGGAGGCCAAGCGGAGGTACGTCCAACGCGAACCACCTCGAGACCTCGCAGCGCCCTGGGGGGCTGCGATCTGCGCAACTGTCGCCGCTTTTGTTGGCTCCTGGGAGGCCCAGCGGAGGTACGTCCAACGCGGACCACCTCGAGACCTCGCAGCGCCCTGGGGGGCTGCGATCTGCGCAACTGTCGCCGCTTTTGTGGGCTCCTGGGAGGCCCAGCGGAGGTACGTTCAACGCGGACCACCTCGAGACCTCGCAGCGCCCTGGGGGGCTGCGATCTGCGCAACTGTCGCCGCTTTTGTGGGCTCATGGGAGGCCCAGCGGAGGTACGTCCAACGCGGACCACCTCGAGACCTCGCGGCGCCCTGGGGGGCTGCGATCTGCGCAATTGTCGCCACTTTCGTGGGCTCTTGGGAGGCCCAGCGGAGGTACGTCCAACGCGGACCACCTCGAGACCTCGCGGCGCCGTCGGGGGCTTCGATCTGCGCATTTGTCTCCACTTTCGTGTGCTCCTTGGAGGCCCAGCAGAGGTACGTCCAACGCGGACCACTTCGAGACCTCGCCGCCCCCTGGGGGGCTGCGATCTTCGACACTGTCGCCACTTTCGTGGGCTCCTGGGAGGCCCAGCGGAGGTACGTCCAACGCGGACCACCTCGAGACCTCGCGGCGCCCTGGGGGGCTGCGGTCTACGCAACTGTCGCCACTTTCGTGGCCCCCTGGGAGGCCCAGCGGAAGTGCGTCCCACGCGGACCACCTCGAGACTTCGCGGCGCCCTGGGGGGCTGCGACCTGCGCATGTGTTTCGGACTTTCGTGGCCTCCTGGGAGGCCCAGCGGATGTACGTCCAACGCGGACCACCTCGAGACTTCGCGGCCCCCTGGGGGGCTGCGATCTGCGCAACTGTCGCCACTTTCGTGGTCTCCTGGGAGGTTCAGCGGAGGTACGTCCAACGCGAACCACCTCGAGACCTCGCAGCGCCCTGGGGGGCTGCGATCTGCGCATTTGTCTCCACTTTCGTGGGCTCCTGGGAGGCCCAGCGGAGGTACGTCCCACGCAGACCACCTCGAGACCTCGCGGCGCCCTGGGGGGCTGCGGTCTACGCAACTGTCGCCACTTTCGTGGCCCCCTGGGAGGCCCAGCGGAAGTGCGTCCCACGCGGACCACCTCGAGACTTCGCGGCGCCCTGGGGGGCTGCGATCTGCGCATTTGTTTCGGACTTTCGTGGCCTCCTGGGAGGCCCAGCGGAGGTACGCCCCACGCGGGCCATCTCGAGAACTCGCGGCGCCCTGGGGGGCTGCGATCTGCGCAATTGTCGCCGCTTTCGTGGGCTCCTGGGATGCCCAGCAGAGGTACGTCCCAGCGGACCACCTCGAGACCTCGCGGCGCCCTGGGGGGCTGCGATCTGCGCAATTGTCGCAAGGTTCGTTGGCTCCTGGGAGGCCCAGCGGAGGTACGTCCCACGCGGACCACCTTGAGACCTCGCGGTGCTCTAGGGGGCTGCGATCTGCGCATTTGTCGCCACTTTCGTGTGCTCCTGGGAGGCACAGCGGAAGTGCGTCCCACGCGGACCCGCTCGAGACATCGCGGCGCCCTGGGGGGGGGCTGCGATCTGCGCAATTGTCGCCACTTTCGGGGGCTCTTGGGATGCCCAGCGGAAGTACGTCCCGCGCGAGCCACCTCGAGACCTCGCGGCGCCCTGGGGGGCTGCGATCTGATCAACCGTCGTCATTTTCGTTGGCTCCTGGGTGGCCCTGCAGAGGTGCGTCCCGCGCGGACCACCTCGAGACCTCGCGGCGCCCTGGGGGGCTGCGATCTGCGACACTGTCGTCATTTTCGTTGGCTCCTGGGAGGCCCTGCAGAGGTGCGTCCCGCGCGGACCACCCCGAGACCTCGCGGCGCTGGGGGGGGGGCTGCGATCTGCGCAATTGTCGCCACTTTCGTGTGCTTCTGGGAGGCCCAGTGGAAGTACGTCCCACGCCAAACACCTCGAGACTTCGCGGCGCCTTGGGGGGCTGCGATCTGCGCAACTGTCGCCACGTTCGTGGGCTCCTGGGAGGCCCAGCAGAGGTACGGCTTACGCGTTGCCGCTGCTCTTTTTGTTGCGCTGGTCTGAGTTCACCGATGGGTGCTCTTCTTCCGCACTGCGGGTTTTTCAGCATGCCCGTCAGCATTGAGTGGTCCCGAATGTAACCACCACATGTATGAAAAGGGTCGGGTACGTCGCAGGGTATTTTTTTAACACGGCGGTAACGTAAGGAACGAACTTGCCGCGTTTATGCTGTATCTGGCGGAAAAGACTCGGGTCAAGACACACCTGGTGGGCGCCGCGGGTCATATAAGAGGCTTGGTGTTGGAGAGTGAGGGTAGGCGCCCGCCATGTGTGGCGAAACTCACCTTAGTGGAAACATTTCCTTGCGACGTACCCAACACTTTCTATACATGTATTTGTTACATTCGGGACCACTCAATGCTGACGGGCATGCTGGAAAACCCGCAGTGCGGAAGAAGAGCACCCATCAGTGAACTCAGACCAGCGCAGCAAGAAGAGCAGCGGCAACGCGTAAGACGTACCTCTGCTGGGCCTCACAGGAGCCAACGAACGTGGCGACAGTTTCGCGGATCGCAGCCCCCCAGGGCGCCGCGAGGTCTCGAGGTGGTTCGTGTGGGACGTATTTCCGTTGGGCCTCCCAGGAGACCACGAACGTCTGCGACGATTGCGCAGATCGCAGCCCCCTCAGGGGGCCGCGAGGTCTCGAGGTGGTCCGCGTGGGACGTACTTCCGCTGGGCCTCCCAGGAGCCCACGAACGTCCGCGACGATTGCGCAGATCGCAGCCCCCCAGGGCGCCGCGAGGTCTCGAGGTGGTCCGCGTGGGACGTACCTCCGCTGGGCCTCCCAGGAGCCCACGAAAGTGGCGACAATTGCGCAGATCGCAGCCCCCCCATGGCGGCGCGAGGTCTCGAGCGGGTCCGCGTGGGACGCACGTCCGCTGGGCCTCCCAGGAGCCCACGAAAGTCCGCGACAAATGCGCAGATCGCAGCCCCCCCATGGCGCCGCGAGGTCTCGAGGTGGTCCGCGTGGAACGTACTTCCGCTGGGCCTCCCAAGAGCCCCCGAACGTCCGCGACGATTGCGCAGATCGCAGCCCCCCAGGGCACCGCGAGGTCTCGAGGTGGTCCGCGTGGGACGTACCTCCGCTGGGCCTCCCAGGAGCCCACGAAAGTGGCGACAGTGTCGCAGATCGCAGCCCCCCAGGGCGCCGCGAGGTCTCGAGGTGGTCCGTGTGGGACGTACCTCCGATGGGCCTCGCAGGAGCCCACGAAAGCGGCGGCAGTTGGGCAGATCGCAGCCCCCCCAGGGCGCCGCAAGTTCTCGAGATGGTCCGCGTGGGTCGTACCTCCGCTGGGCCTCCCAGGAGCCCACGAAAGTCCGCGACAAATGCGCAGATCGCAGCCCCCCAGGGCGCCGTGAGGTCTGGAGGTGGTCCGCGTTGGTCGTACCTCCGCTGGGCCTCCCAGGAGCCCACGAAAGTGGCGACAGTTTCGCAGATCGCAGCCCCCCAGGGGGCGGCGAGGTCTGGAGGTGGTCCGCGTTGGACGTACCTTCGCTGGGCCTCCCAGGAGCCAGAAAGTGGCGACAGTTGCGCAGATCGCAGCCCCCGCGTTGGACGTACCTCCGCTGGGCCTCCCAGGAGCCCACGAAAGTCCGCGACGATTGCGCAGATCGCAGCCCCCCAGGGCGCCGCGAGGTCTCGAGGTGGTCCGCGTTGGACGTACCTCCGCTGGGCCTCCCAGGAGCCCACGAAAGTGGCGACAGTTGCGCAGATCGCAGCCCGACGGCACGAGAGATGAGGAGAGGGGAACACAGGAGACAGGAGAGGAGGAGGGGAGGAGGGGGGAGGAGAAGAAGGAGACCGGGGCGAACACACTGCTCTATTCAAACCGAGTACCCAACCATAGGAGGGTTGGGAAAAATAATAATAACAACAATCGAACGACACATTATACCATTAAGGGTAACAACCGTACGATCGATGGCGGCCAGGTACAGTAGGACGGCACGGACCTTAGTGGGGAAACGAGGTAACACATGATTCTTATAATAGACGTAAAATTCAGTGGCCGTGCGGTCATTGTATGTAAAGTGAAGGCAAGTACAACGACGCCCAGCGTGAGAAAGAGCGGCACTTTTGCAGTTCTAGGGTTGCTGCCCAGGGTTTGGTGTACCCCAAACCGTAGCTTAACTCCCCATCCCCCGTAACCACGTCCAATCCTCCTCCTCCTCCGCCTCCTCCTCCTCCTCTTCCTCCTCCTCCTGCTCCTCCTCATTGCCTCCTCCTCCTCCTTGCCTCCTCCGCAGCCTCCTCTTCCTCCTCCCCCTCTTTTTTCCTCCCTTCGCCCCCCCACCGTCCCCCCCTCCTCCCACACCTGGCAGGCCGCCTGGACGACCAGCTGCACCCCAACTTCTACCCGGGCCAGGACCCGGAGGCGTAGCCCGCGCCGCGCGCCCATCCGACCCTCCCCCCAGGGAAGGCACAGCCCCGCGACGGCGTTGGGCGCCGATGGTGTCGCCCAGGGGCGCCCTCGACGTCCTCGGCGTGCCTCGGCGCCGAGGGCGCCCTCGGTGGGTGGCGGGTAGGATGGAGAAATAGCGAGAATGGAGGAGGGACCGGGGAGGGGAGGGAGCCAAAGAGCCGCACCGAGCGCATGCGCTGCCACAAGTCCGTGGTCGCCATGCTGCGCCGCCACGGGGAGCGGACCGACGTCTATGTCGACGCGCTCAGTGCATTCCGGAGCTATGTCGCGTCCGAAGAGCAGATCCGCTAATTAATGGATCATGGACTTGGTCTTTCTTTCGCCTGCGTCGAGCATCGAGATCCTGGGCTCATCGACGTCACGGCGCGTTCGCCTTCGGCAAAGGCGCACACTGAGCTGCACTTGCAGTCCTGTGAGGCCGTCATCGGTGGCGAGCGCGACTAGCTGACGCATTGCGGCCAGGCCGTGGTGCCTGTGGCCATCGAGCCCTTCAGCCGGGTGGGCGGGCTCACGAGGCAAGCGCTGAGTGCCATTCCCTGGGAGAGCGCGGCGTTCGGGAATCTGCTGCCGGGCGCGGGCCGCCTGGCCCTGAACCTTCAGGCCCGGAGGGGCATAGCGAGGCGGCGGCAGTCCGCGCGGCGGCGCGGGCATGGGCGCGAGCTCTGTCCAGGCGCCCGGGTGGGCCTCTGGGCAGCGCCGCAGGGCGCCGCGGCCTGCCCGCGTTTGCCCTGCGAGGAGGGGGAGCGGCTGCGCGCCGCCGTGGGAGGGAGGCCGGCGGTGACGCTTGGCCACTGGCAGGCGGGACTGGTGCGTTAATTTGGTCGAGTGAGGGGGGAGGGACGGGGAGGAGGGATCGGGGGTGGACAGAACCCCCAACAGTGACACGTCGATTAGTGAATTGTCCGTTTTCGGTTCTCGAGATGGCGCCGTGGCCGTTATTTTCCAGGCTTGCTCCCGCCAGGTTTGGGCCCCAGGTCGTTTTCACTAAACCACGTTTTGCTAAAGGGGGGTCTGTCCATCCCCGAAGGGAGCAGCGGAAGGGTGGTGAGGGTGAGCGGGGGGGAGATGCGGGAGGTGTCTGGGCACCGTAGATGGATGCGACGGAGGAAGCAAAGGAAGAGGGCGAATCTGTTTGATCAGTTCGACGGTGATGACCTTCATGGCATATATATCCCTTAGGGCTTGTCGACTTTTCGCCAATCGACTTGTGAGAATCGAGCCAGATAAACCCAGGTAAATGCAGATAAATCGAGGTAAATCCAGGTAAATCTAGATAAATCTGGGTAAACCCAGGTAAATCCAGAGATCTCCAGGGAAAGTTCGAGCACTTCGCGGCCGCTCCAGCGCGAGTCGAAGGACGGCAGAAGTCGTTAAGCCTTTAACGAATATAAGCTGAAATGCCCAGACCATACATACATAGTTCATGACATAGTGACACGGTGCGTTTCTTGGAAGAGTGCGGCCCCGTGGGCCGAACCCCCTCTCCACCTCCGCCACCCCCTCCTCGCTCTCTCCTTCCTTTCCCTCCCTCCTTGCTTGTCGCCCTCCTGCTCTACTCAAGAGGGAAAAAAACACACAGACACAATTAATCGTCGATCCCCCAGAAAATATGCAAAAATATGGGAAGTGGGGGGGAAGACAAAAACTCAGAAAATATGGGAAAATATCGGGACTAATTTTATTTGTGTGCATTTATTTGTGTGTCCTGGGGCCCCTTTATCTACCTCCACCCACCCCTTGCGTTCCTCCGCGTTTTGGTTCCTCCTCGAGCCTGTTCCGCTTCCGGCCCCTGTCACCCTCGCCCGGCCCAGCGCCTGTCCGTCCGACCAGCTTGCGTCCTTTGTCGTCGCCCGCCTCCTCTGGCAGGCTCCTTTTCGGGCGGCCCTCGCCTGCCGCCTGGCCGCCAGCCCTAAGTATCACAGCCCCTCACTGCCAGGATAACCCGGACCCGGCAACAACGCGACGATCTTCTCGAAGCGCCGCTACGTTGGAGGCACAAGTCGGAGAAGATGCCTGGAAACATCACCCAGCGCATAGGTGGGCATGCCAGGGCAAACGCGTGCGTCGCGGATGCCTTCATGGTGGGCGACTCTCATGGAGGCCAGGAAAGAGTGCCGGCACCTGGCTCTTGGACGAAAACGGCCAGGACGCTCGCGGAAACGGGTGACCTACATGGAGGTGAAGAACAGGGCCTTCAAGCAGCACTTCAGGGTCACTTTTGGAGCCAGCAGGGGCCCAAAACGAAACCTGAAGTGCCCCTTTAGGGCCTTTTCTCCGCCCCCATTTAGGTCGCCCCCCATTGCCGCCCGCCCGAGAAAACTTAACAGCTCGGGTCCCAACGACACCGCAGACGGCTTCTACTGCTACGCCAGCGGCCACACTTTTGGGGAAACCCGACAGACGAGGATGATAACGGCACGAACGCGGACGCGATTTCTTCGAATTGCGATACGTTTTGCATTTGAGATTTAGCTGATTTGCCCGACTATCAACGCGCCTGATATTCCTTCGACTTTAAACAATAGCATAAAGACGGCTGGCGGTTCTACATGCGCACGCCAGCGCGCCGTGTCCGACGTTTCGCGAAAGGAACCTTCCTGGGAAAGGGGCGTGGAGGCCGTAGAGGACGTAGTCGACTCACCGGAAGCATAAAGGCATTCAATTTTACGTCGTTGCCGTGCCCGACGAGGACTACGACGATCTATTTTTTGGTGGGCGAGGCAAACGAAGAGGTAAAGGTGCTAGCGGCAGATCTAGGTCGACAGGCGAACGGCAGAGCCGCAGGAAAAACAAGGACAAGGATGTCCAGTTGATGAAATGCCACAATTGCGTGTCCACCCAACATGTTGCCCGATCCCACCTGGGCAGAGTGCTGCAATCTCGGACGCACCGCTGACGGAAGCAGTCGAGTACCTAGAGCTTCCCGACTACAGCCAGCAGGAACACCTCTACTTCATTGAGGCTACTTCGGAATACTTCTATCTGGAGTTCCACGACGTTTTGGCTTTCTTCAAGTTGGTCTCCTCATACTCCATTAACGATTGGCTCGTGAGTGCACGACCGAACGCCAGCGGGTCCGACGACGAGTGCTCTCAACGTCTGGTGGAAACACGATCCGACGCACGCGACCCCCAGTGTGAACCACTACGGCCACCCCGTGCAGATGTGGAAGATGAGCGCTCGCATGGCGCATGCTACGAAGTGGTAGACGACGGCGAGGTTCGCCCCGACAATGCAGCGTCGCCCTCGCACCGCCGGGATGCTCAGTCCTCTCCTTTACGTCGACGAACCCGAGATCCTCCCAGCGCTGGAGGAAACTGGCTCCAACAACGCCCGTGGGTCGTGGCACAGGCAGGCCAGGTTTTACCAAACTTGACGCGCGAGTATCTTATAATCCAAATAGGTTTGCCCTATAGGAGTCCTAGCTCAATCCCTACTAATTGGTCCGTTCCCCCCTAATTCCGATGCCCCCCCTAATTCCCATGTCTATGCCTTTGCCTATGCCGGTGCCTCCCCCCTAACTCTTATGCCTACGCCTCTGCCTATGCCTGCTTGCTTGCTTGCTTGTACGCTTGCTTGCTTGCAGGCTTGCGCGCTTGCGTGCACGCTTGCTTGCTTGCTGAGTTGCGGATCCCAAGCATTCTTGATTCCTCTGATTCTTTGATTTGAGTCGTCTAATCTATTTGGAGTCAACGCTGGCTGATATTTACTTGGATATACATGCTGCAGATCATACAGCGTACCATTCATACTTGTGGCGCAGCGAGGTTTTGACAGGTGTCCTTCGCACTTGCGCGCTCGCCAAAAAACTTTCTGTCGCACTGGAGGAGGAGACAGGCACATATAATACCTCTTCTTCCAATAAGGACCCGCGCATTCTTATCGCCCTAACTATTGCACTGACGGTGACGACGACGACGACGTTCTGATGAGACATAATTAGGATCACGTGCTTCAAGGGCTGCGAGCCGACTCGCCGTTCAATCCGTCGGACGACCCGGATATGCAGTATGTTATGGAGTTTTCGAAAAGTATGCCCGATATATTGATAGCATTGGATTGGCCAAAGAAGAGTATGACAGTTTCCGCACATGGCACAAATACCTGGACATGCTGGATATCATCGGCTTGTGACGGGGCCAGATCTTGAAGATGACCATTTTGGTGCCACTCTGGAGTTCGCATTATGAATGGACCTCATCTCTATCCATGGTCAAAATCTTAGCGAGAACTCACCAGCGTTTATCTTCAGGCACAGAAGCGATGCATGATCTCGACGTCTCGGACAATATCCAGGACCCTCAGGAACAACAATCTCCACCACTTACTTCGGACCAACATCGGGCTCCGGAAGCAGACCTTGCATTTTCCATATTGGATCGTGATCATGCCGAGGAGGCCGTGCTGGAAGTTTTCGACTTCAGGCTAACGCGGGAGGAGCACGACTCGGATCTTCATCCTGACCATCCTGCGGCACAGGCTCGCTCAGCATTTCAAGGATGGATGTGTTCACGCTGTCATAATTTCAACGACGATGACCGAACCCCAGAACGTTGGCACCGCGCGTTGCAGGGCCCTCTTTCCTCGTCCTGTCTCATTCTCGGTCAGACTCCTCTTCAGGCGTCCTTCGCCCGTCTCCTGCCTCCTCCGTTTTCCGCGGCCCTCTGGGCGCTTCGGAGGCTCCTCTGGGCGGTTTCCCCTCCTCTTTCGTCTCCTACTGCACCCGGTCTCCCCGTCGTCGTCCTGTTCTTCTGCGTCCTCTCGCGCTGTCTTTCCCTCCTCTGCCCTCTCCTCCTCTGCCTCATTCTCCCTTTGTTCCTCAGCTTCTACGCCCTGCTCTGGGCCTCGTTCTGAGGGTACATCGCGTCCCACACTCGCTGGACGACGTCCCCCATGGTGAAGTCTACGAAGAGCGGCACGGTATAGTGACTTTTTAGAAGACAGCGTCACCTTGGGCGGAGCCTCCCTCCACCACCTCCTCCGCCACCCTGACAGCCCTGTCCGTATCCTCCTCACCTTCTTCAACCTCGTCCTTGTTTTTGCCCTGACCCTCCCCCACACATTCCTTGCCTTCGCCCTCCTCCACAATCTCCTCTGCCTCTCTTTCTTTCTTTCTCTTTCTTTCTTTCTTTCTCTCTCTCTCTCTCATGGTAGGATCCACCTGCGCGGGTGCACCCCCCCTTCCTCCCTCCTGGTGGGTTCCGCCTGCACGGGTGCCCCCACCCCATCCTTCTTCCCGGTGAGATCCGCCTGTGCGGCCCCCCCCACCTTTTCCTTGCACATGATGACTGTTGCAGTGATGTTAAGGATGGTGATGGTCGTGATAATGGTAATGGTAATGACGATGACGGTGGTGATGATGATGAGAAAGAGGATGACGATGACGATGAGTATGACGATGACATTAACGATGGAGATGTTGATGATGATGCTGATGATGATGATGACGATGATAATGATGATAGTGGTGGTGATGATGATGGTTATGGTGATGATCATGTTTATGAGGATGTCAACGGCAATATGGATGACGATTATGGTGCTGATGCTGATCCTCATCATGATTATGTCGATTTCGATGATGTTGTCAATGAGGATAACGTGTCATGATGTTGTCGCGTGGTGGCGGTGGTGATGATGATGGTGGTGATGATGGTGATGGTCATGGTGTTGATGGTGGCAGTACTAGAGCAATGAATGGTGTTGATGACGATGGTGATGGTGACCATGGTGATTATGATCGTGATAGTGAGGATGATGAATCTGATTATGATGATGATGACTGGCTTTCGGCCGACATGATACCAAAACGGAAGTTTACATCATGCGATATGGGATCTGTCCTTCATTTCCTTTTCCTCCTCCTCCTCTTCCTCTTCGCTCGTCCCCTTGAGTCTTCTGGGGCGTTCGAAATTACTCGGTGGCTCACGGAGCTTAGGCACGTGAGCGGGGTTTCGAGTTTCGGCCGCGTGCGCAGGAGAGTCCTGCTACGTTGTCATGGCTACGCTCCTTTTCAGTTGATCTGTTTTGCAGAGTTGTTGCGTGTTGACTTTCAGTATGGCCTCATTTGTGCATCTGGATGGGCTCGTTTCGCGTGTTGATGATGGTTGTGATGATGCTCGTGCTGGTGGTGACGAAGGTGATGATGGTTTGGTGGTGATGGCGGTCATGATGATTGTGGTAGCGGTGTTGATTGTGATCATGATTTGGTTGATGAGGAGGGGGCGGGGGAGAATGAAGTGGCGACGGGGGGATCGAGGAGTGGGCCGGCAAGTTAGAAGAAGGTGACGTGGAGGACGGGGAGGAAGAGGACGACGTCGAGCAGGCGGAGGAGTGGGGGGGACGGGGAGGGAGGTGGTGAGGGCGGGCAGGGGTTGAACCGACAGGCCGCGCCTTCCGCGGGAGCCCTGCGGCGTGACGCGAGGCCTCGAAGCCACCCGGCCGCGCGCTCGCGCGCCCACGCGCGAGGTCTTCACCGACAGGCGCGGGCCCGGCTCCTGCCCCAAGGGCCCAGAGGCATTCGCCGAGGCCCCGGGGGGGAGAAGGGGCAGGCTCCTCTCTCCCCCCCTGCTGCTTCTCTCCCTCTCCCCTTCCCCCCACCCTTCCCACCCCCTCTCCCTCTTTTCAGGAGGGGAAGAAACACACAGACACAATTAATCGTCGATTTCCCAGAAAATATGGGAAAATATTGGAAGTGGGGGGGAAGACAGAAACCACAGAAAATATGGGAAAATATTGGGAATCTTTTAATTTGTGTGTATTTATTTGTGTGTCCCAGGGCCCCTTCATCTTTGTATGTTGTTTGAGACGTGGCGGGAGCTCCTCAACCCGACAATCCCCTGGTTCTGCTTGCCAGGTGTAGTGGACAGGCCACTTGGGAGGAATGTCGGGGGAGAGCCACGACCCTCAAGAATCTGAAGGCCAAGTGCCATCCGCTCACAGAGCTTCCCCTAAGCGGGGACACCCAACGCGGGTAATGGGTTAGTGCGTTGTCCCTCTCTCATCCGTGACTCCTTCGTTTTCTCGGTTGAGTTCATTCGGCTTGCGTCTCCCCCTCTCTCTCCTGCCCTCTTCTGACTCTTCGTCCTTGTGCTCCGTCCTCTCCCCCCCCTAGCTTTCACCGTTCGTTTCCCCTTTCTCCTCCCTCCACCTTACATGCTCCTCCTTTTATGATCCTCTTCCCCCAGGATCGCCCTTTGTCTGCCCCCATCCCCTCCTCGCCACCATCCTCCCCCCGCCCCCCCCTCGCCTCCTTCCTTCTCCTCCGCTCCACAGGTCGCGCAGGCGAGCCACCCGACGCGCGGAACAGGCTGGAAGGCGGGCAGGGGTCGTCGCGCCGATGGGGCGGCCGCGGACGTCCGCCGGTGCCCGTTGCATGAGGAGGAGGCGGCGGAGGAGGTGGGGGAGGGAGAGGGGAAGGTGGTGGAGGGAGGGCGGATGATGATGATGATGATGATGATGATGATGATGATGATGATGATGATGATGATGATGATGATGCTGCTGATGCTGATGATGATGATGATACTGCTGATGCTGATGATGATGTTGCTGCTGATGCTGATGATGCTGATGATGCTGAAGATGATGCTGATGCTGATGCTGATGCCGATGATGATGATGATGATGATGATGATGATGATGATGATGCTGATGATGATGATGATGATGATGATGATACTGCTGATGCTGATGATGATGATGATGCTGATGATGATGATGCTGCTGATGCTGATGATGATGATGATACTGCTGATGCTTATGATGATGCTGATGTTGGTGCTGGTGCTGATGATGAGGATGAGGATGAGGATGATGCTGATTATAATGATGATGATGATGATGATGATGATGATGATGATGATGATGACGATGATGATGATGATGATGATTACGATGATGATGATGATGATGATGGTGGTGGTGGTGGTGACGATAATGATGATGATGATGATGATGATGATGATGATGATGATGATGATGATGATGATGATGATGATGATGATGATGATGATGATGATGATGAGAATGAGGATGAGGATGATGAGGATGAGGATGAGGATGAGGATGGATGAGGATGATGAGGATGAGGATGAGGATGAGGATGAGGATGAGGATGAGGATGAGGATGAGGATGAGGATGATGATGATGATGATGATGATGATGATGATGATGATGATGATGATGATGATGATGATGATGATGATGGGATAATAATCGTAGAGCATGAGTGTTGATGTGCACCGACAGTTTGGGGTGGGATCGTGGAATTTTCCTTGGAGCCTCGGAGCCCGCAGGGGCGTGCCAGCTTGTTGGGGGGCCTTTTCGCCGGTGGGCCTCGTTCCCGGCCTGGCTCCCCTCGGCCCTCCAAAACGGGTGGGCTCGGTAGGTTGTGTTTTGGTTGCCCGTGAAGGCCCCCCTGCCCTCGCGTGTGCGGCACGGCCTGCTCCGCAACCGTAACATATGGCTCCAATCTGGTACAGATTATCGCGAGGTCTGGGCGCCCAGCCCACCTCGCAGCAGGGCGCGGCATGGCGCCCTGACGGGAGCAGCGGCTCCACCCGTGGAATCGAAGATTGTGCGAGGCCGCGGCGAACGGCCCAGGAGCCGCAGGCCGCGGCGAGCTGGTGTGCTGGGCGCTGTGTGCCGGCGGCGCGGCGGACGCCAGGCAGAGCTGGATGGCCGTGTCTGCAGACGCCAAGAAGGCGGGGACCGAGGCGCTGCGGGGCGGGGGTGCCGACGTCACAGACGACGACGTCGCCGAGCTCGTCCTGAAGGTGAGGTCGACGCTGAACGCAGGGCGAGCCCCCCGTTCCAAGCGGGACGAGGCACGGCGCCTGGAGGCGGCGCTGGACCCGGTGGCCGTCCGCCTGGCGTCGGGGAGCCCCGAGGTGCCAGGCTCCGAGATGGCCGAGGCCCTCTGGGGGTTCACAGAGGCCGCCACTTTCGCCACGCAGACGGAGGGTCGGATCAGACGAGTGGCGGCCGACGCCGATGGCTGGGAGACGATCGCGGATCGGATCTGGGCCCGAGCGGTGGGCGCCGACGGGAACACGCTGCCCGTCGACTGGGTGCTGCACCTTGGCATAGGTCTCTTCCTGTCGAGCCTGGCGGTGGTGCTGGGGGCCGACTCAGTGCGACACCGCCTGGCAGGCGGGGCTGTGGGGCTGGTCGGGACCTTCCAGCTGGTACGGCGGGTGCCCAAGCGGGTGGTCGCCTGGTGGACACGCTGGCGGCGGCGTTCGGCCTTCGCCGCGGCGCGGAGGCGCGGCGGGGGCGGCCTGGATCGGACCGCCGCCGAGGCCGCGGAGGTACCTGCGGGCCCGCTGCACCCGCCGGGGCTTGCAGCACTGCCGCCTCCGCCGTGGGCCCCACCCGCCGAGGGCGCAGGCGCGGGTGCCGCTGCGGCGAAGCCTGGCGCGCAGGACCTGTCGGCGCTGCGGGCGTTTGCCCAGGGGTGCGAGGTGCCGGGCCCCTTCAGCCAGACAGGGGCTATGCAGCAGCAGCAGCAGCAGCCACAGCCGACACCAGAGGTGGCCGTGCCAGCATCGGGGCTCAGCTTCCACGTTCCCCACGCTCCTGCAGATGCGGTGAAGCTAGGACGGGAGGTGGAGATAGTGGGCGCCACGCTGCGCGAGTTCCAGGCGCAGGCGGCCATCAACGAGGACTGGGCCTGGCACTTCTGGGAGAGGATCGCGGCCGTGGATGGCTCCCGGGGGCTGCACCCTGACCTCCGACGAGTGCTGCAGACTCACGGCTACGTGGGAGCGGGGACGAAGACCCCGCCAGGAGAGTCGTTGCAGCAGGAGCTGGACGCGCTGCTCGCCTCCCCTACGGCGCCGCACGGCGGGGGCATGCGCGCCTCCCCTGGGTGGGCCGTGGCCCCGCAGACCCAGCAGCATCAGGAGGACAGTCGATGGAACCTGAGCCTCCCGCCGGAGCTGCGGCGCGCGGCGCCGGAGATCTACCGCACCATGCGGGGCGCGGGGGCGGCCAGCGCGCGGGACTGGCTGTCGCAGGAGGTGACGGGCCAGCGACGCACGGCGGTCTGGACCGACCTGTGGACTGCCGCCACCAACGTTGACTACTTGCTGGGCGGATGCGCGACCCAGTCCGAGCTGCTCGCCCGTCTGGCGTCCGACGATGCGCTGGAGCTGCACCTGAGGCGGCTGGCGAGCTACGTCTACGAGATGCGGACGAAGGACAAGGTTGGGGGGGCGGCCATGTTGGCTGTCCGCCCGCCCGGGTCAGCCGCCGACTTGGCTCCGACATGGCTGGTGACCGAGGCCACGACCCACAGCCAGGCGGAGCACCAGCGCGACGAGAGGGTCCATGCCGCCAGCAAGCACGACGGTCGAGGCAGCGGCCGTGGCGGGGGCCAAGGAGGTGGAGCGGGGGGCGGCAGCGAGGTAGCCAGCGGCGGCCGAGGCCGAGGTGGCGATGGCGGGGGGCGCGGCCGCGGCCGAGGGGGCAAGCCCTCGGGCCGGGGCAAACCCCAGGCCTGACGGTCACTGGCGGACCGAGGGGCTTACGACCCTCCCTCGGTCCGAGCAGGCGCCCCGCCGCCGCGGGTGCAGCTTAGAATGCCAGTGGCGGGTTTGTCAGGCTCGCTGACGCGGGCCCTGCAGTGGAAGGAGGCCGAGGCCAGGTCGTTCTTTCCCATACCTCTACCTCATCGGCCACAACAAGGAGCTTCCTCTTCAGGCAGGTTGAGGACGCGCTGGGCACGACGCATGCGTGCGTGGCGTCGGGCCTGTGGGCTCATCGAGCTCATGAACGGGATGGACCGCGGATCCCTGGAGGCGAGACCAACGGGCCAGCGCGAGACGAGCGACAACGAGATGAGGCTGGCCTGGCAGCTCGTGCAGCAGTATGCGTTACAGGACGCAGCGCGGTACGAGCGCGACTGCCGGGGGCTTGCCCCGACAGGCGGTCAAGGGACGGATCTTGCCTGCGACAGAGGACCGCAGGACGCCTACACCGGAGAGCGCAAGGGTGTGAGCAAGCACGTGATGATGTGCGCAGCGGCGGTGGCAGAACCTCCGGACGACATGGTCGTGGACCTGCTGGAGGCGCTGCCCGACGGCGAGCGCCAGTACTATTCGGACGAGCGGAACGTCCTGGACTACAGCGGCAAGTCAGGGGTTCTCTTCGAGGAGCTGGAGGAACGCTTCGCTTTCGTGGGGGGCTCGACGTCCGAGTACGCCCGCTACCTGATGCGGGCCGATCTGCCGAAGGACATGTGGACGTTCGAGGACCCAAGCGATGTCCAGGCCTACTGCGGGTTTAGTTGTGTACCCAAGAAGGACCCCGCCAAGCAGCGGAAGGTCCTGATGATGTGTGCCAGCAACTACGTGTGGGCGGACCCCCACCAGCGCGGCGACCACGGGATGCACGGCGGGGCAGCCATCGCCTCCATGTGCGCCCCGACGGACGAGTGGGGTGTGGCTGCGTTCGACGAGGACAACGCCTTCACCCGCCTCCGCGTCCCCGCTTGGATGGCCAGGTGGCAGGCATGCCCGCCGATGCGCGCCTGCTGGGTGCGGGGCAAGCTCAGCCAGCGTCTGCGCGACAGGCTGGGGCCGACGGGCTGGATAGCCCCCTGCTACCATCGCCTGGCCATGGGCGGCTCGCACTCCGTGCACCTGCTCATGACGGTCAACATGGCGATCATCGGCAGGGCGCTGCTGGGCGTGGGCGCACGCTTGGGGGCGCTCGCGGGCGCCGCGGCTCCCGCCGACGGCGCGGCCTGCTGTGCGCCACGCACCTCGCCGCCCGAGGGCGGGGGGCTGGAGGCTGGCAGCCGCGGGGATGCCGAGCCTGAGGACGCTCAGCAGCACCGCTACGACGACGACTGGCTAGGGCAGCAGTCCAGCTGCCGGGCTGCGCTGCCTAGCCCGAGGGGCTACAGCGTGGCGGAGTGGCTGGAGACAGTGAGGCGGGCGAAGAGGGATGATGAGCGTGTGATGGTGGTGATGCATCTCTTCGCTGGCCGTCGGCGGCGTGGCGACGTGCAGGAGGTGGTAGAGAGGCTGGCGAAGGAGCGGTGCTTGAGGGTGCTCTTCCTTTCCGCCGATCTCCTGGACGACCCGCGGTGGGACCTGGCCAACCCCTCCACGTTCTCCGCCTTGATGGAGCTGTGCGAGGGCGGCTGGGTGGACATCGTACTGGGCGGTCCGCCCTGTTCAACCTGGTCGCGGGCACGCTACAATCGTCACCGACCTGGGCCGCCGCCGGTGCGCTCGCGGCGGTGCCCCTGGGGGCTGTCAGGCCTCAGGGACTGGGAGGCCGCCAGAGTCGCGGAGAGTAACACCTTGACGCTTAACTTGCTGGCGCTCTGCGAGGCGTGCGGCCAGAGTGGCGGCGCCTTCCTCATCGAGCACCCGGAGGACCCAGGGCGTGCGCCCTACCCATCCATCTGGAACACGACTGAGATGCTGGATTTCGAGACGAGGCGCTCGTCGCGGAGAGCGCGCTTGGACCAATGCATGTTGGGCGGACGGACGAAGAAGCCCACGTGCCTGAGCGGCACGCTGCAGGGGCTGGAGGACCTGAACGAGCTGCGGCGTGACGGGCCCCATGCCCACGAGACGGCCGAGGGCAAGCTGGCCGACGGCACCTTCCGCACGAGCCCGCTGGCCCAGTACCCCGAGGGGATGTGCGAAAAGCTGGGCACCTTGATTGTTCAGACCCTGGCCATCTTCGAGCAGACCGGCTTGGGCGGCACCGGGTGGCGAAGGCCGCCGGGAGCCGACAGGTCGGTCACCGCCTGGAGCTCGCGGAGCACTACGACGCCAGCGGTAGCCGTGCGGAACGAGGATGTGCTTCGCGGTCGGGGGCTGGTGCTGGACGGGCCGCAGATGGCCTTCTACCTGCACGTCGACGACGGGGTGGCGATGGCCGGTGGCAGCGGCTGTGGCCCACGGGCCTCTGGGAAGATGCACCAGCTGGCGGATGCCCTGGCCGAGGCCGGCTTCGTGGTCACCGACCGCACGGAGGCCAGCGACATGCAGAAGGTGCTGGGCTGCGCACCACAGGCGCGCCCGGCGCAGCTACGCTTGCCCCCGAAGAGGGCACGAGAGCTGGTGCAGCAGCTGGAGGCGATGGGCGCCACCCGCTCCCTCCACACCGAGGAGCTTCGGTCGCTCTTGGGGGTGTGGATCTGGGGCGCACTACTTCGGAGGGAGCTGCTCTGCATGCCCAGCGCCGTCTTCAGGCTCCTGGAGAGGCACCCGCGCCAGAGGGTGTGCACCTGGGCGACCGTCCGCAGGGAGCTGCGGGCTATGGCTCGAGTAGTCCCGCTGATGTACGCCGACCTGGGAGCTCCGCCAGCCCCCGCGTATTTCGCGGCGGACGCCATGGGCGCCAACGTGGAGGACGACGGCGGTTGGGGCATCCTGGTGACAGACATGTGCGAGGACATCGCGAAGGACTTCATCGACACGGGCGGCAGCTTGGGCTACACCGTGGCGCGACTGGACGGCGAGCTTACTGGATTGCGGCGTCCCGAGCAGGTCATCCGTCGGACGAAGCCCTTCAGCCTCCTCCCCGATCGAGTGTTCAAGCCCGACGAGGACTGGACGATCGTAGGAGCGGGGAGGTGGCGGGCGGCCGACCACATCACGCTGGGCGAGGGGCGCTGCGTCGTGAAGATCAGCAGGCTGGCGGCCGCCACTCCTGCCCTGCACCGCACCGTGCTGCCGATCCTGGAGGACAACCAGCCAGTCTCGGGTGCGGTATGCAAGGGGAGGTCCCCGGCGCACATGTTGAACCACCTGTTGCGTCAGAAGACCGCAGCAGGGATGGCATCTCGTACGAAGATTCTGATTACATGGGTGGAGGCGCTCAGGCAGCCTGCTGATAAGATATCGAGGTGCCTGACTCGTGCTGAGCTCCGCGGCCTACCTCATGTCGGGGCCGAGGAAGCTGGACAGCACTTCTGTTGAGAAGGTAAAGCCGCACACCCTGGCAGCCTACAGGGCGGCGGCTATGAAGTTCGTGACCTACCTGGACGAGCGCGGTTTTGTCCCCGACGGGCCCGAGCAGTGGGACGACCTGCTTGTCGAATACAAGAACGACATGCAGATGACCAAGTGCAATTTCGAGTACGCTGTCGCGGCAGTGGAGTTTGTCTTCCCACGCCTGAGGAGGAAGCTGACTTGGTCCCACTCGGTGATTGACGCATGGCGAGTGTCGGCCGAGGTGAAGCGCGCGCCGCCGCTCGGCCGCGCGCCGGCTAACCTGGCCGCTATCTATTTCTCCTGCTGGGGCGTGCCGCGGCTGGGCGTAGGCTTGCTACTGCAGGTGGACCGCGGCCTGCGCCCGTCGGAGATGCTTCAGCTCAGAGCAAAAGACATATCCTTGCCATCGTCGAGAGGGGGACCTGATCTGCAGCCAAATTGGGTTATCAACTTGGGAGCCAAGTCGGCGACAAAGGCCAAAAGGATGCAGTTCGCCATTATTCTGGAGCAGGGCGGAGTACTGGAGAACCTCTTGCACCGAGTAGTCTTGGGAACGCCGCCCGAGGGGCTCCTGTTTCCTTACTCGCTTGTCGACTACAGGCATCGGCTCAAGCAGTTTGAAGCAGCCCCGGGCCTCGACATTCACTGGACGCCACACTCGGCGCGCGCAGGTTTCGCCAGCGATTCCGTGGCTCGTGGTGTCCCCTTCCAGGACATCAAGGAGGCAGGGCGGTGGCTCACCGAGTCCAGCCTCCGCATCTACGTGGACGTCGTCACCGCCTCCCGGGTCCTGGCGCAGGCTGAGCAGCGAGGAATCGCACCGCTCATCCGCGAGGCGGCCGAGAAGCTGCCCCACTACTTCCCGGAGGGCATCTTCGGCGAGGGGGAGGGCCTCCAGCATGCCGCCAGCGGGTTGGCGCAAGGGCCAGGACGGCGCCTGGGTGCTGCCGACAGAGGGAGTCCCTCCAGCGCCGCTGGCGGGGGGCCGCCGGGTGGCCTCGCCAGCGCCGCGGGCCCCAGCCCAGCCGCCTGCGCCAGCACTGGGCGCACTGGTGGATGGGCTGCTGGCGGGTCCGCAGCAGCCGGGGGATGCAGCGGCGGGCGCGGGCGCGGCCGAGGCCGAGGCGCCAGCGCCGGCGGCCCCAGGCGTGGCGGCGCTGAGGCCCCCGCAGCCGCTGGTGGCGCAGCCGCTGGCAGCGGGCGCGGCCGCGGGGCAAAGGCGCGCGCGCTGGAGCAGCGGGTCGCTGTTGCGCGCGGCCTGGCTCATCGCAAGGTGGTGCGGACGCTCGACTACTCGAGGAGTGACGTGGGCGGCGGTCGCCGCGATGCTGATCGGGTGGAGCTACATGGCCGGGCCGCTCGCCCACCTCGGGACCATGATGGGTGTCGTGGCCAGCGTATAAGTCTTGGCTGGCAAAGTAGTCGACAGCAGCCTCGGGGCAGTCATCACGGCAGCACAGGGCGTGTCCGACTTCGCCGTGACGTCGTCCCGCAGCTCGGCGAGCCTCCTGCAGGAAGCCTGGCGCGGGGTCGACATTACCAACCTGCACGTCCGCCAGCGCCACGCCGAGCGGCTAGCGGACGACCCCGAGATCCTGCAAGCCTGGATCGAGCGAGAGTTCCTGACAGACGAGCCTCGCCCGCCAGGAGCCGAGCAGGTCACCACCGCGATCTCTGAAGCTTCGGTGAACATACCTCACATGTCAGAGAGATGGCAGATGATGATCTGGCCAAGTCAATACCGCGAGCTGCACATGACACTTGACCTGCTGCCGTCCGGGTTCTACGGAGTCCACCTGGTCGAGCGGATCGTAAACTTCAAGGTTCAGTGGAGCAACCCAGTCTGGAGCAGCCTCGACTGCGACATCAGCTCAGAGAGAGATACAGTCGTGGCTCACATAAACTCCACCCTGGAGGGGCTCCCACTCCCCGAGATACGCTACATGTCCATGACTGATCGTGAAATTCAAGTTGCCAGGCTCCCAGGTGCCTGGATCAACATTGCCCGTAGGCTACTTTGTGCTGTATATATGGCAGTTAAGAGTGTTTTGCAGCTCGTTTTGTTCGGAGTCTAGGGTGGTCACCGAAGATTTAGGAGTTTTCTGGTGCACACTGCGAGGGCGGGCCTGGGGGGCTTGCTTTCAATTTTGATTGTCCAGGTTCCTTCTCAACTCATCAAGGTCCGAGCACATTTTGTGCCCCGGGTGAAGGACCAAGCTGTTGAGACACATACAGCTCGCAAGCGGAGGTGGGAAGAGCTCGGCGGCAAACTGAGTTTAGCAAGCCTTGAAGCAATTTTATTGTACTTCTCGCCTCCTCAGCAAAACATTCCAGGGGTGGGTCGAAACGGACACCATCATGGGATAATAATCGTAGAGCATGAGTGTTGATGTGCACCGACAGTTTGGGGTGGGATCGTGGAATTTTCCTTGGAGCCTCGGAGCCCGCAGGGGCGTGCCAGCCTGTTGGGGGGCCTTTTCGCCGGTGGGCCTCGTTCCCGGCCTGGCCCCCCTCGGCCCTCCAAAACGGGCGGGCTCGGTAGGTTGTGTTCTGGTTGCCCGTGAAGGCCCCCCTGCCCTCGCGTGTGCGGCACGGCCTGCTCCGCAACCGTAACATATGGCTCCAATCTGGCACAGATTATCGCGACCCCACCACCGTCCCCCGCCGAGCCGAGCTCGGCGGCAAACTGAGTTTAGCAAGCCTTGAAGCAATTTTATTGTACTTCTCGCCTCCTCAGCAAAACATTCCAGGGGTGGGTCGAAACGGACACCACCATGATGATGATGATGATGATGATGATGATGATGATGATGATGATGGCCGTGTCCTTCACTTCTCATCTCAGGTGTAACCGAGGGCTGTCGTGGTCGCGCCGATGCGCCGCAACCGCGTCGGTTCAAGTCTTTCTCTGGAGGATGAGGCCCTCGCCTGGATGCGCCTCACTGGCTCCGGGCTCGGCCTCCCGCTCGCGAGCAACGGAATCCTGGTGCTCCTGGCTGGCTGGCGGCTGCTGCCGTCGGCGCCTGCGGCCCCCGAGGCGCCCGCGGCGCTTCCGCAGGTAGCCGCCCCGCCCCCGCTGTTCGAGGCGGGCCCGTTCTCGGCGCCAGGTGAGGTCGTTGGGGTCCAGGTGCCGCTGGCTGACTGCTTGGCGGCCGCCCTGGACGCGAGGGAGGCGGGCCGCGCCTGTCCCTCGCCTTGCCCGCCCTGCCCGCCGTGCGAGGCAGGGAGCGGGCAGCGTGCCTGCCCGGCGTGGGAGGCGGCGTTCTGCGGCCAGCTCCTCCTGGCCTCCGAGCTCGTGCGCTGGGGGCTCGCTGGTCGCCGCGGCGGCCCGCTGCTCGTGCCGGGGCCGCGCCGCGCGGCCCGCGTTGGGGGCGACCCCAGCTCGAGCGCGCAGCAGGCTGCGCGGGTCGACTTACCTGATCGTCGCGGTCATCGAGTTGGTGGCTTGGTCCGCTGTTCATTATCTCGGATTTCGATATGGGTGGCGTATGACGAGCCGCCGCCCCGCCTGGCGCACAAGCGCATTGTCGCGGGTGTCTCGTCTCGCGGGCTGGAGCACTACGCGGTAATCGCTCCAGCTTTCCACGTCTAGACGCCGCGCGAAAATGGACATCCGGAAGTAGTCGAAGGAGTTGGGCCCCTGTGTTGCGCCGCTCGGCGACGTCATCCCAGCGGGGGTCCGACGGCGCGGCTTCGCCGCGATGCCGACCGTCGCCCAGCTCGTCCAGGCCTGCGCTCTGGGTGCCGCGAAGCTTGCGGAGCGGGGCCAGGCCGCTGGCAGCTAATGGGCCTGCTGCTGCCGCTGCTCCTGGCCCTGGTGGAGGCGGCGGGGCGCTCGCAGTGGTCCTGGCTGGTGGCGGCGCAGGGCCTTAGGGGGGCGGCCTCGCCACAGGTGCTCCCGCCGCTGCGCCTGGAGCCGCCGCCGTGGCCCCCGCCCCCGCCGTCCCCGCAGGCGGTGCGCCTGCGCCCGCCGCGGCCGGGTGGCTCGCCGGGCTTGCGGCGCTGGTGACTGGGCCTCCTGGCGCTGGACCTGGCGGCGCGGGCGCCGCGGCCGCCCCAGCCCCAGACGGCGCCGGAGGTGTCGGCGCAGGCGACCTCCGCGCGCGGCGGACAAGAGCAGCCGCGCAGGGAGCACCGGGACAGTGCGCAGCTCATGCGTCCCACCTCCTTCCCCGACCGGCCAATGCCAGGGCCGTGCGTTTCCAGCTGGGTAGCGACTTACAGGGTGGAGGACGGTGGATCGCCCATGGGGCATCACCTCGCCTGGAAGATTGCTCTCGGCTCGGCTGTGCCGCCAGACGACCCGATCGTTTCGATGCGCCGCTAGTTCTGACAGATCATGCGGGCGTGGCTCAGTCACGTGACCAAGTTGACGGCTGGAATCTCGCCTCGATGGAGCTCGTGAGCTCCAGCTTTGCGAGGAACGGCGCAAGGATAAGCTGGTCTGTTCGCGAACTCTCGGCAGTGGGGGCGACTAGCAGTTTTTCCATGCTGGGGCGCAGTCGACCCGCTGGCCCATGGCCGCGCCTGCCCTGGCCGAGTGGATCTCGAAGCGGCTGGTCGCCGACTCGGCCATCGCCAAGGAGCGCCGCAAGGCGCGCGAGGAGCCGCAGCTGCTCCGCCCGCCCGCTGGCGGCCGCGGCGGTGGACGGGGCAGCGGCGCGGGCAAGGCTAGCAAGTCTCAGCCCGCATTGCCCGCGGTGCTCGCAGCGGCCGCCAGGGCCCCGGCCATCCTGGAAGCCCCCTCATCCGACCCTTCCCTCCTGACGTCGTGGTTCCCTCGCCGTGGCCGTCAGTCGTCAGCGAAACGCTCGCCCTCTTCCGCTTCTTCTGCATGGCGACCCCCCCGCGCTGCCGGCGGCGCCGCCGCGCGGGCTCGCGTCGACTGGGCCGGCGACGGGATCGAGGCGCTCAACATCTATGGGGGGGGGGCTCGCGCCGCTCCTGCCCAGCAGGCGGCGGCCGCCCGCCAGCAGGAGGCCCCGCGGGTAGGCCTCCTGATGGGCCTCGCCTGCCGCGAGCAGCGGTTGCTCAGCCAGGTTGCGCTGGCCGACTGCCGGAGGAGGGCTGGCGCCTTCGTCGGGCGGTGCTCGCAGCTCCACCTGGGCTGGGGCGACTGAGAGCAGCTGGGCGCGACCGTGGCGACTTACTTCGACTACTTGTACTCCCGCGGGCGCAGCGGGGGCGACGCGTCGCGCCTCCTGGCCGCGCCGAAGTCCTTCCTGCCGCCGATCGGCAGCCGAGGGGGCCAGGCGCTGCGCCGCGCCTCCCGCAGCCTTGCTATCTCGCGGGGGGGGGGCGCGCCCCCCGCGGGGCGCGCGCGCCGCTGCCATGGTTGCTGGTGGCCCCGCTGGCAGGTGCGATGCTCAATCGTGGCCAGGTCGAGCTGGCGATGGGGCTGTCCGAGTGCTGAGCTTCGCCCGCCACCTGGGGCTGTCCGAGTGCGACCTGCTAGCGGCCGCGCAGGTCGCCCCCCCCTCCGCGGCGGGCGCCGCGGGCTCGGGGCTCGCCGCTCTGCTGCTCTATCCAGGCATCCAGGCCAGCTGGGCCGACTGGGGGGGACGGGCCTTTGGGGCTTCACAGTGGTGATCGACACCTTCGCATTCCTGGTGCCGGCCAGCTCTCCTCGGGCTGAGGCGGCGAGCTCTGTCGGGGAGGTCGTGGCTCTGGTCCTTCCCTCCCGCCTCGCTCGGCCTGAGCATGAGGGGGCGGCCTGCGCGCTGCGGCTGAGCGCCTTCCCCGATCCCCGCCCGCGGGCTGCGTCGCAAGGGGGCGTCGGGCGACCTGCTGGCGGAGAGGCCGGCCGCCTTCGACGTCCAGCAGCGCGGAGGGTGGGCCTCCGAGAAGAATTGCAGGCGCCACGCTTGAGTTTTGTTTTGCCCCCCCCTTCTTGTTCGTCTTCTTTGTTTGTCCCCCCCTTTTTGTTTTTTGTTCTCATATATATATTTATATATATATATATATATATATAAAAAGACAAGCTAGCCTCGCACATTAATCTCAACAGCTTCTTTCAACATTCTGATCCAACTGATTCAACTCCGTGATTCAACTCTGGCCCTGAATTACGTTTCGCCCCTCATTTTCTAGATACTGATTCAACCCGGGTGCGAGATCCGAGTTTATTATGATTCGGCTGTCCCCAGCCAGAGTTAAATCAGAGTTCCAGACCAGAGCTAATTCAGAGCTTCAGCTAAACCAGAGAGATGAACCAGAGTTTCAGACCAGAGCCAAATCAGAGTTTCGCAAGAGCGCGCCCGCACGGAACTCAATACTAAAAAGGGAGACCCAACTTCAAGCTACCCCCCCCCTCTCGTCGAAAAGGATGGGGGGCTTCCGAAGCTACCCCCCCCCTCCCTCCAGAAAGGGTTCCTAAGCTAGGGGGGCCCTGGCTAAGGGGGGGGGGGCTTCGAAGCTATCCCCCCCTCCCTCCCTTTTTCCGGAACCGAAGGTGAGCCTGGGCTTCCCTTTCAAGGCGGGGGGGGGGGGGCTTCGGAGACTACCCTCACCCGTCCTTCCTTTTTTGGCCTGGACGCAGGGGGTGGCGGCTTCATGCTACCCCCCCCCCTCCTGTGCAAACGAGGGGGGGGGCTTTCAAAGCTACCTCCCCGCCCCTCCCTTCCGGGGCTCTGGCAAAATGGCGGAATCCTTGACGACAGGTGCGCACCGCAACGCTAGACAACGAAATTGGAGAATGACGTTGGCCCCTGGTTCGTTTTCTTGCTTTCTTGTTTTCTCGGCCCCTGGTTCGTAGTATCGTTTTTTTCGGGCCCTGATTATTTTTGTTTTTTTCATTTTCGCGGCCCCTGCTTAGTTTTCTTGTTTTCTCGTGTTTTCGGCTCCTGTATCGCGGTCTCGTTTTCTTTGGCCTTGGTTCGCGTTGTCG